CCTCATGGGTGTCTTGCGGGAGTTCTTCTCCAAGTTGGGTGAGCAGGCGACTGGCCCCGTGGTGCTGAGGGCACTGGGAGGGTGCTGGGGTCACCAGCCTGACTCCCACCCCCACAGGTCTCACCCAGCTGCGCTTTAAGCCCGCCTACAACCCTTACACCGAGCCCAGCATGGAGGTGTTCAGCTATCACCAAGGTACCCCTGGCTGAGCCAGGTCCCCCACACTGCCGAGCCCCCAGCCCACTTGCCCAACTCACTGCCAGGCCCAGCCCGCCACACGCTGCCCTGTCTTCTGTATCCCACACCCACAGGCCTGAAGAAGTGGGTGGAAGTGGGGAACTCTGGGATCTTCCGCCCTGAGATGCTGCTGCCCATGGGGCTCCCTGAGAATGTGTCGGTCATTGCCTGGGGCCTCTCCCTGGAGCGGTGAGTACTGTTTGGCTGCCTCAGGCAACTTCATGTGTCCTTTCCTGGGCAACCTTACGTGCCTGGCCCTGGGCTGTGAACCCAGAGCTCACAGCCCTGCCTCCTCTGAGCAGGGGAGCAAGGATGACTAGCAAGATGAATAAGTAAACTTAGTAAATGAGATCCATGAAACCAGAGTGTCCAAGGACAGCAAGTATTGGCAAGGACAAAGCGGAAAGGCTAAGGAGACTGCCGGGGACGGCTTTGTGGAGCACTTGGCCTGAGCAGGTTGGAGATAGAAGGGGTGAGCCAGGGGGATCTCTGGGAAGGTGTTCCACACAGCAGGTGGAGCCAATGCAAAGGCCCTGAGGCTGGACTGGTGTCTTTGGAGAACCTCAAGGAGGAAGGGGTGGCTGGAGAGGGGGGGAAGAGATGAGGGAGAGGAGGCAATGTGCAGGACCTTGTGGGCCACAGAGAAGATGTTGGCTTTTACTTTGAAGAAGCTGAGAACCTTCAGAAAAATTCTGAGCAGGGAGCATGACCTGACCTGTTTTAAACTGTGACCCTTCCTCCCCAAGCCCGACGATGATCAAGTACGGCATCAACAATATCCGCGAGCTGGTGGGCCACAAGGTGAACCTGCAGATGGTATATGACAGTCCCCTGTGCCGCCTGGACACGGAGCCAAAGACCCCACAGACACAGGCTGCGTGACACAGGCTGCCCCAGGATCGCCCATCCTCCCTGGGTCCCTGCCGCTCAGCCTTTTTACATTCTTCATCAGTGACCCCCTTGTATTTATGAGGCCTCCGTGAGGCCAGTCCCCCTCCCGCCTCTGCACCCATCCCAGAAGCAGGCCCCAAGGGGTGGGTGGCAGCTTCCTTCTGTGGGCCTTCTGTGGGCTGCTGATCTTATGAGGTGGGCCAGGGAGCCCTGGAGCCCAGCTGTGTTAATAAAGTGGGCACTTGCCCTCATCTGGTGCCTTTCTTTAGGGGCCCCGTGTGTCGCTCCATGGGGAGGACATGGGATAATGGGTCCCTGGATGTGGGTGGTGGAGGTGAGTAGGGGGACCTGGGAGGCCCTGCCGGCTCCACCAAGCCCTCCTCTAGGTGAACGGAACAGAAACTCCCTGTGCCGGGGACGCCACTGGAGGTCCAGAGGCCAAACTCCCTGCCAGGCAAGGAGGCTGGTTCTCTGTGTGTGGCACAGGGGACTGAGCCCAGGGCCCACCACATGCTAGGAAGCGCTCTACTGAGCTACAACCAGCCTTTTTAAAAAAATTGAAGTGGGGTCTGGCCGAGTTGCCCAGGCTGGCCTCAAACTTGTAATTCTCCTGTCTCAGGTTTTCAAGTAGCTGGGGTTACAGTATATGCCATGGCACTTGGCTGGAATTTTTTTTTTTTTTTTTTTTTTAAGGAAATAAAGTAGTTTTATGTTGAGCCAAATATGAATGACCATGGCCTTTCTGGAAACATGGATTAAAGTTACCCTGAAAGGCATGTTACTGCAGCAGAGGTTACAGCAGGCAGCTTTAATATTCACAGAACAAAAGAAAGTCATAAATTAACACATTTACCAAATACACAGGTAGGAGCGTCAGGAACTGGGCTACTGCAAGGGGGAAATCTCTTCGGGTTTGAGGTGGGATCTAATAGCATCGGAGCTTTGGGATTGGTGGAGGCTAGAGGTCTGCTCAACTCAGGGTGCTTTCCAAGAGATTTACCTAATAGGACAACATTGGGTCAATGGCTACTAAAGGGATTAAGATGTGGACCCGCAAGTCCGTCTGTCCAGTCAGCAGGGCCAGTGTGAAGCAGCTTCTCCACAGAACTTAGGTTCACAAAGAGGGGATTTCTTTTGCAAAATAAAGAGCACTGAATAAAATATTTGTGGTGGGATTTTAAGCTCTAAAGATCTTGAGTTAATCAGTGGAGAGGTGGTAAGAGCACAGTGGCCAAAATCAGACGGATAAAACAGCTCAACACCAGCACCACCAATTACATTTTCCAACACCCAAACCAATCCCATGATTCTCTGTAAACCAACTGGTTGTTATTCAACTCAGTTCTGAAACTAACTACCCATAATTAGCACAGGCCCCACAGGCCAAGGGCTCAATTGAGTAGGTCTGTCCCGCCAGAGGCCAGTCTCAAGCCCAGGGCTACTTGTACTTCTGACCTCGGGTTCCATGACCTCCTCAGGTTCAGTAGTTCGATAGGATGCTCAGAGAATTCAGCATGCTTAGCTTACATTAACGACTCAGGGACAGACAAATGGAAGAGATGCATAGGGCGAGATGGGGCTGGGGGTGATGACATGTAGCTTCCAAGTCTTCTCATGTACTCTTTGGTACCCTCCAGGTACCAAACTGGAAGTTCTCTGAACATTACTGTTCAGGAGTTTTGTTTGTTTTCAATACTGGGGACTAAATCCAGCGCCCCATAATACTAGGCAACCACTCTCACTAAGCTACCCCTCAGTTCTTTTTATTTCAAGACAGGGTCTTGCTAAGCTGTGGGGGGTTTCGTTTAGCTTGTGATCATCCTGCCTCAGCCTCTCAAGAGAAGAGGGTTTTCAAGAGGTTTTTTTTTTTTTTTTTTTGAATATTTATTTTTTAGTTCTCGGTGGACACAACATCTTTGTTGGTATGTGGTGCTGAGGATCGAACCCGGGCCGCATGCATACCAGGCGAGTGCGCTACGGCTTGAGCCACAAGAGTTTTTATAGAGCTTAATCTCCAGTCCTCTCTCATTCTGCCCCTTCAAGGAGATCAGTGGATGGGGCTGAAAGTTCCAGTCCTGGTTCACTAGGCCTTTCCGCCAACCAGCACAATCTAGACACCCCACTCTATGACACCTTATTAGCATAACAGAATTTTTTTAGGCAGGGAATGGGGAGATGCTAGGGATCAAACCCAGGGCTTTGCACATGCTTAACGTAACAGTAAGCCTTTGAGATTTTTCTGTGTCATCCTCAAATCTTCAAACCCCAGGCTGCAGGAAGTGCATTTTATTCAACTTGTGGCTATTTGCTGAATCTTTACTTTTTATCAGATGTTTTTCCCTGCAGCTTTTAAACAGCCTCATTTTTGCTTTGTATCACCCTGTTAATAGAATGAGGATAGATTCTGAGATTGAGTGGTACTTTTGTGATCACACTGCTGGTAAGAGTCCAGATTCAAACTCACCTTCAGAGTGTGGGCATCAAGATGTGTCCTAGTCAGGGTGTGGCTAGGGACAGATGCTGAGGCAAAACAGGTGAGCAATGTCATCAGATTCATGTTACATCCTCCCTGACATGGACATTGCAATATATCACTGGTGAGAAGCTCCATCTCTTTTATTTTTATTTTGAGACAAGAATAAATTTCTGAGGCTGGCCTCAAACTTTCAATCCTTCTGCCTCAGCCTCCTGAGTAATTAGGATAATAAGTATGTACCACCTTGCTGGGCTCCTCAAACTCTATCCAACAAAACCTCAAAACCTCCTACAGATCTCTGCTTTCCTGCTAGAAGACCTCATGGCTGTTCCTTTACATCGACTGCTTTCATCTCACAACCTTTGCATACACCTGTTGGAACCTTTTGCTCATTTGTGTGTGTGCATGGGTGTGGTGCTGGGGATGAGTCCAGCGCTGTGCACATGTGAGGCAAGTGTTCTACCATTCAGCTACATCGCAACATATACCACCCCTTTTCTTGAGATGGGTTTTGTTATGTTGTCCCACAGGGACACAGGCATATACCACCAAACCCATTCCCATTTTTAAAACCATCTTACTGGGTTGCAAAAGTTCTTTGTAAATGCAGTATACAAGTTCTTTCATAAACAAATATATTTGCAAATATTTTCTCCCCATCAGGCTCCCTGTACTAATTGTTGATTACTGCTGTTTCTGCTGTTATTAATAAGTGGCGCCACACTGTGGAGGCAAACCCCACATTGCTTTCAAGGAGCTTCTAGTTGAACTAATTTATAGTTGTAAATGTACAACTCAGTACTGGGATCTAAACCCAGGGGCGCTCTACTGCTGAGCTACATCCCCATCCCTTTTTGAGACAGGGTCTCGTAAAGTTGCCCAAGCTGGCCTCGAACTTACCATCCTCCTGCATGAGCCTCCGAGTAGCTGAGGTTACAAGTGTGCGCCACCAAACCTGGCTGCATAAACTTTCACACCGAGGATAATAGGGAGGCATGGTCATAATCAAGGGACGTCAAGGGCCGGAATCCTTTATTGGAAAGTTTTCTCCAAGTAGAACGGACGAAACGAGCCGTACAGAATGAACACCACGTACACTGCCCCCCACAACCCGGGCTGCACGAGGCTCCCTGGAGTTTCCCGCATGCGCAGACCTAGGTGCTAAAAACTTAACCTTACCCCGCCAGCGGCTCCAGCTGCGTGCGCAACTCCCGGACAGCTAAACCGCCACTTAACGGCCAGTCACACTGGCTGCGTGCGCAGGTTCTCGGTGGGGGCGGGGCCTGGAGGGTGAGCTTCTGCACGTGCGCTGGGGCGTGCCGGGGGCGGGGCCAGCGCGTGCGCAGAAAGCGGGAACCTAAAGGCGGGAAAAGGATGGAGCGACCAGGAGTAGGCAGAACTGTTTTCCTTCGCGCGGGCGGAGGGCGGACGGGCAAGGAACGGCCGCGATCCCGGGCTTCCCCAGCAGAACTGATCCCGGCCACTCCTTTCCTACCATCGGGGTCGCCTCTCGCCCGGCCCGGCGCCTATTCCCCACTGACCGGCCAGGCCGTGACTGACTGACGAAGGGACGGTGACTGACGTGCAGACAGCCTTGGCCAGGACAGACTTAGGCGCATGGCGCGCGGCAGCAGCAGGGTAGAAAGAGGCCCAGACACCCGTGCTCTGCCCCTGTTTCTTTTCTTCTTCTCCTTTTCCTACCTCTTCTCCTTCCTGGAAGGACTGGAGCCGACACACAAGCCATTTGGCAGCCCAGGCCCCACGGCGCCCCTCCCAGAGCCTGTGCCCTCACCCCGGCCCCTCCAGGTCTCCCCGCCGGGTCCCCGACCCCCCACGGCCCCCTCCCCGCTGCTCCGTCCCCGCGGCACCCACCCCGCTCTGCCCGTCTCTTCCGCGGGTCCCCACCTTGCACACTCGGAGGTGCCCAGGGTCGAGGCGGGGGACACGACGCCCGACGCCCAGACGCCCGCGGCCTCTCAGGCGCCGGCTGTGCCCGCAGGTGGACATGCCCCACGTAGAGTTCAAGGACCAGGAGCCGCAGGCGATGGGGGAGCACCAGCAAGGCCAGGAGCACGGCGAAGAGGAAGCTGGTGGAGGGTCAGCTAGGTGAGGAGACCCGCCCAGCGGTCCTTCGGGTCACCCGTTCCTCCGGTGTTTGTCCTGGTGCTCTTGTTCCACAGGTGGAGGGGACATCCTCCATGTGCCAGGCACAGTTCTGGGAGCTGGGGACGCAGAATGAGCTGACCCCCTAGAGGAGGAGACAGAAAGTCCCCACTATGCATCCCTCTCCTGGGCATCCTCGGGTTTGTTCAGGATGCCCCCTCAGGTACCCAAAGCTGCACGTGCCCAAGTCCTTCGTGGAACGGTATGTTTGAGTAGAACCTACTCACACTTCCCTTGACTTTAGGTCATCTCTAGGGACTTATAATATCTAACGCAGGGACCCCCTGGAGATAGTGCAGGTTTTGGTTCTAGACCACTGCAGTAACATGGATATTGCAATAGTCACACTAATTTTTTTATTTACAGTGCATCAGTTAGATTTGTATGACAAATCAGTTAGATTTGTATGACACTGTAGCCTAAAAAGTGTGCAATGACATCGTGGCAGAAAAAGATAACTTGCATACTTTAATTAAAAATACTTGGGGTATAGCTCAGTGGTAGAGCCCTTGTTTCACTGTGAAGCACTGGATTCGATCCTCAGCACCACTTAAAAAAATAAATAGATATGGGCTGGGGATATAGCTCAGGTGGTAGAGTGCTTGACTCGCATGCAAAGGGTTCAATCCTCAGCACCACACACACACACCAAAAAAAAAAGAAAAAAGAAAAACAACCTTAATCGTGCAAGGCACTGTGGCTCATGCCTGTAATCCCAGCGGCTTGAGAGGCTGAGGCAGGAGGATCACAAGTTAAAAGCCAGCCTAAGCAACTCATT